AATACGGAATTGCGGCACAAATCTTAACCGCTCGACGTACGGTCTTGATATTCGGGACATGGGGGGGGGGGATCGTGAAAAGGACTCGAGATGTCGAATTTGGGGGTCAAGGGTCAAAGGTAAAGATGTGTCAATGGAGGGGGAATGTTTCCCAAATTTTCCCAATTCCCAATATTTCTTAACTTAAGGTATAGGAGGAAATACGGAATTGCGGCACAAATCTCAACGGCTCGACCTACGCTCTTAATATTCGATGTATAGTGTGATGGGGAGGAAACCCATCACCAGTGCGAAATTGGAGGTCACAGGTCAAAGGGCAGTGGGGGAAAGGTCAGATATCAGACATTTTCTGAGGACATGGTCTAACGGACCGAGTGCAAAAAAATTTTGGTTCAGCGCTGACCTACCATTTTTATCACTTTATTGGAAGGACCGTGAAATCTACTTTCTGCTGACGTGCGAAGAGTAAGTGTCTGATAACCTTTTGACCCTCAAGAGGAGGGTTAAACATGGATTTGTTGACTGTTAACAAAAGACTGAACTGCTTTTGCTATTAGAGCCCCCTTCACTCGCCCCTGCACCCACCCTCCCACCACCCCTCTACCCACCCTCCCCCCACCCTCCACCCTACCCTCCCCCACCACCACCACTACGCTCGCGCTCGATGCATATCCATGATAACGTTAATATAGCGAAGTCATTAAAGCTACACAGCTATATCTTTATTACTGTACCAACGGTATAGCAAATCCTATCAACGCGGTGGCGGGAGGGCGCAATTGATTCGGTTGCCAGTGAGTTTATCAGAAGAATAGCCGGCTACTGTACACGTCAGTTGAGCGCTGTCGCTCTGCGGCACTTGTTGTTTTAAGCATATATATGGGCAATTCCATGCTGGATGGACTATATAAATAAAATCTAAATTCAATAGTTCAGGCCCGGGGGGGGGGGCAGGGGGGTGCCTCCAGGACCTTGAAAACATGACCCCTGTCGCAAACCGCTTTGTGCCCTAAAATACACCCTGTCCCAATATACTGCACTAAAAAGTATACTCTGTTGCAATATTGCACATTTCGGTTATGTTCTGTCCTGTCAATATAGGCAGATATTGGACCAATATTGTTTTTGCTAATATTGGGCCGATATTGGACCAATATATGCCTAAATTGGTCCAATATTGGCCTGGTGATATTGGCCCAATATTGTTTTGTCAATATTTGTCCAATATCAGCTTGATAGGCGTGTATCTAGATAACCCTGTGCCAATAATGATGCTCGGAAAATATACCCTGTGTAAATAATGATGTTCGGAAAATATACCCTGTCCAGCGGCACGTCCCCAGTACCTTTAACAATGGGAGTGCCCCCCCCCCAGGAGTTCAGGACAAAAGATATTTGTAACTGCAAGAAAACTTTTTACTGACATCGCAGTGTTGATTTTAGAATTTCACCGTAATTCGTTTAAATGTGGAAATTTTCTCATTTTTATGACAAATTTTGTGCCTATAGAGTGATCATCCCATATTCTAGCTACAATTCATCAATGGAAAAGTGAAACATGCCAAAGTAATCTTTAGTTTGACCAGAATCAACGCCTAATATTTGGAGAGGCTGCTTTCAAACACTAAGAAAAATAACCGGAGTAGTGAGCATGCTTATTTAGTGTCACGTCAGTCACGAAAAGTTATAATTTTCTCCATATCTGACCTATACCTTCATCATTTTTAGCTCACCTTGACATCGTCAAGATGAGCTATTGCCATGGGTCGTCGTACGTCCGTCCGTCCGTCCGTCCTTCCGTCAACATTTGGCTACAGTCAATGATAACTCAGGAATCGTTTGACTCACATGTTTGAAATTGGGTATAGTTGTTACTGCTATGGGAGGGGTTTGAACATCTTATTTTGGAGCACGCCAGTCGACGTACTTTCGAGCCACGGCAATTTTTTGGCAAAAATCGAAATTGCCATTAGTCAGTTCAGGTTCAACGGATTTTGCTCATTTTTGGTACGTGAATGAATAAGGGCTGGCCCCAAAACGTATTACAGGGGTTTTGATATTTAAAAAAAAGTGCAAATTAGGTAGGTTTTGGCAATTATATAGCATATTATATAGACACGCAGATAACAGTCTGTGGTGTCACACTCGTCTGTTGTTTGTTTTACAAGATTTCATTGACAATATCTTTAATGCAAAATTGGTATTTCCTCTCCACCCTGCCGATAAAACGTCTATATTAGAGTAAAGTTTTACAAAACATGTCGGAACGCAGCATAACCTATTTATTTCTAATGCCATCGCAAAGAAACAAAAGCGGGTATAGCGCCATCTACCGTCACAAATTGTGATTCATTTTGGTTTATTATTGCGATATACAGATGGCAACCGTGTGCTACCGCCTAGAAAAACTCATACGAAGTAAACACTTCCATGCAATCAATTAACCTTTGGCAAAAGTTGTGTTATGGGCAGGGAAACACCATTGTCACGTGGTATATAGCAGCTACGTGGAATAAGCGTATCCTCTCAATCTTATACGTTACACATCGGTAGCTCCGCTTTTAGGCAGTGCCTAAATCTGAATATTATAAATGTATTTTATTTTTTTATTTTATTTTTGGAATAATTTTTTTATTTGCGCTATATCCAAAAACCAAAATGGCGATCATTTAGGTGTAACACCATCACTCGCCCACATCTCAGACTTTTACATCTCAGACATTTATTTTCACATACAAAATTACACATAATTATCGAGTTCTCCCATATATATACTCTTTGTTTCTATAATGTACGTCGATGGTTGCTCAATTAAAACGGACTTCTTCTCACTCACTCATTTGTGTCCTTATTTTGTGGTGAGCTACAGTGTCATTGACACTTTCATTGAAGATACTCATGATTCTCTTGGTAATGACCAGTAGCTACCAGAATAAATAAACCAAAGCTTTAATTCTGATCAGGACAGGACACAGTATGCTACTGAATACTGTCACGTCAGTCACCGTGTCACGTCTGTCACAATTTTTGAGGTGTGTCACGTGAGTCACATTGTTTTTATTTCTATCAAGGATCTTAAAGTTAAGACATATCTGCCAAACTTTGTCTTAACTTTAAGCGACCTCAGACCTTGCTTAATACAGCTCGTCTTAAAACTAAGATATCCCCTTCAGAGCCTAAAATTGACCACAAAAGCTCACAAATTCAGACCTAATGATTTACTTTCATTCCATGAAATCTGTTTTGTGCTTTCAAAGCACAAACAGTGTCAAAAGACAATATAACAGTCTGTATACACACACAACGACACACATGTTGTCTGCTAGCTCACAACGAAGTTAATTACAACAATGGTAATTTCCAATGAGAAAATTTCTAAAATGTGTCTTTTTAAAGGTAAACTTAGTGCATACCAACAACTGACGTGCTTCAGCCAAAACACAAACATTTAGCAAGTGTTTTGTTGATTTTCAACAGTCAGAAACTTTGAAGTGGAGGAAAATTAAGAAATGGCAGCCATTATAAGGTCTGAGGGCCATCTTAAAGTCAAATTTAAACATCTTGGTTAAGTTTGGCAATGGCTGAGAAACCAGTTTTAAGATAAATTTAACTAACATAAACTTAGGAGAGTTAAGATGTCTTGAACCTTATAGGCAGAGCTTAAATTTAAGCAGCGACTGAATGTGCCGTGTAGCCGGGGGAAGTAAAAGCAGTAAGAGATCAGGGATTGGAAGTTTCTGTTATGATCAGGGCTGGCAGGTTTTGGAAATGGCCAACTCATGAAGATAGATTTCTTTACTTCGCTGATCAAATTTAGAAGAGGCTCAACCTCCACTCCAGTATTGGTAAATGCTCATGAAAACTGACTTTCCTGGTTTTGGGGTAAATGATTGAAAAATTGTATTTTTGTGTGCAAATGGTAGGAAAATAAAATGTTGTATTGTATAATTTTTAGATAAGTTGATTGTTTAATGATCTTTTTAATAGTATAATGAATGCAATGTAAGAATTCTAACTGTTATGATTACCTTACAATATTTTAATTGTTTATACTAAACTGTAAGTTGACGTAATTAGTTGTCACATCAGTTGCACGGTCACTTCAGTCACGATGAATTTTCTTTTTTTTAAATGAATTGGAATTGGAATTGATTGTTTATTATATGTTTATTGTTTATATTAGTTTAATTATATAGTTTGGTTAATTTAAATAGAAAAAACTGTGTTGATATTTGCTGTAAACGTCAGACAATTTGAAAATTGTTTTTTTTAGAAATATACTTTTGTCCGATTACTGTCACGTCAGTCACAGTGAGAAAAGGGTCGCCTATGTGCTGTGCTCTTTATTGATTCTGAAACCTTTGATATAAACTTGAAGGCATCTGTCTGTACTACCTACATACTAAATACTTGGAAGAAGAAGGTACTATAAGTTGTCTAAGATCTGAGCTAAATGTTCAGAAATGACAAAAAATGTCACATCAGTCGCCGTTGAATTGCCCATATATGGATGATATTCCTGCAATCTTGAAGTTTTGTAAAAGCCAGTAACACGTTTGTACACCTGTAGGCATATCTTGATAAATACTTGGATGGCTGTGGAGTGGATTTCTACATACATCTACTGAGCATACTGGATAAGCTAGTTTATCTTAGTCTTGAGAATGGACTTGAGCAAGGGACGGCAGGTGCTGCATCACTGGCAGATTGTTCTGATGCTCTACATCGGTGAGTAATAATCAATGAGAAATAAAAGCCGTCGACGTTTAGTTGACGGCTTTTATTTCTACTAGTAATAAGTTCAGTGTACAACTAACTAGGTGGTGCTGCCTTACCTGTTTACTAGGTGGTTATGCTTTAATTGCATGCATGCATACGTGAACGCGTACGGAGCTATTGCCATGGGGCGTCGTCCGTCGTACGTCCATCCGTCAACATTTGGCTATGGTCAACGATAACTCAAGAACCGTTTGATCCACATGTTTCAAATTCATACAGTTGTTACTCCTATGGGAGAGGTTTGAACATTCTATTTTGGATTACGTCAGTCGACCTACTTTCGAGTCACGCCCACTTTTTGGCAAAAATGTAAATGGTCATCGTCATCTAGATTCATTCCATCTTGTTAAATTTTGGTATGTGAATGTGTAAGGCTAGCCCCATAGATCTAGATTCATTCCATCTTGTTAAATTTTGGTATGTGAATGTGTAAGGCTAGCCCCGAAACAGTTGTTACTCCTATGGGAGAGACGACAACGTCCTATTACGTATATTTCGTCTAACTGGTTCACAACTCTACAATCATACCTATATACGTGTAATATTGTGTTTTAGATTCTTCGTTACAGTAATTACTAAACCAATAACTACGACTATGGGCCTTTTCACCAGAGGTGCTGCTCTGTATTGTACGATTTATACTAAGAACGATCGAGGAGCCCTGTAGGATGCAGGGATGCAAATCTTTTTGAACAGCTTAGTTTAAAAAAAAAGGTTCTCTTGTTTATCCATGCGACAATGAATTTCTTTACATATCATAATCGTAGTTACATAAGGTACCCGTAGTCGTATATGATATAATACCCAGTAACCCTGCTTATGTTTTGAAGATAGGATATCACATCGTTCACCTAATATTGCCTTTATATTGCCTAATATAATAATTTTGCTACTTATTTGAATGATTTCTAGTTAATTATTTTGGGTAAAAATATCTGAGAAAAAAATCCCATTGGTCCCTACAAGTGTGATTTCAACATATATATGCTTATATTGCATAATTACAGGTTGCGAGATGGCATTAAATATGATATTGTCTTACATTTAGGCTTTCAAGTAACTGTTTTCCTCTATGTTTTTCCTATGGGACCTTTTATCATTTTGAGATTTTCTAATTGTTCATTTTCATTGATGCAGAATTGGACATCCCTTATCCAGGAATGTAGCCAATGCATTTGAAACATCTAATTGAAAAAAGAGTGGATTGTGGAAATAGTTTCAGTAGAAATGGGTTTCAGTAATTGTATCCCCCGCGACGAAGTCGGCGGGGATACTATGGTTTCATGTCTGTCCAGCCGCCGCCGCCGCAGACACTTTCCCTTCCTCTCTTTAACTCGACCCCTAATTGACCTAGCGTGACCAAACATGGTCTACTTACACATCATGGGGAGAAGGTGCGCAGTGTACCAAAACCAGGTCACTGCGACCTTTACCTTGACCTTGGTCATATTTCCCTTCCGCTTTATAACTCTGCCCCTAATTGACCTAGCGCTACCAAACTTGGTATACTTACACATCTTGGGGAGAAGGTGTGTCGTGTACCAAAACCAGGTCACAGCGACCTTTATTTGACCTTGGCCTTGACCTTGATCATATTTCTTTTCCGCTCTATGACTCGGCCCCTAATTGACCTAGCGCGACCAAACTTGGTATACTTACACATCTTGGGGGGAACGTGTGTCGCGTACCAAAACCACGTCACTGCGGCTTTTATTTGACCTTGACCTAGAGTCCTAGACCTTGATCATATTTCCCTTCCGCTCTATAACTCGGCCCCTAATTGACCTAGCTCGACCAAACTTGGTATACTTACACATCTTGGGGAGAAGGTGTGTCGCGTACCGAAACCAGGTCACTGCAACCTTTATTTGACATTGACCTTGACCTTAGCCTTCATCATATTTCCTTTCCACTCTATAACTCGGCCCCTAATTGACCTAGCGCGAGCAAACTTCGTATACTTACACATTTTGGGGAGAATGTGTGTGTCGTACCAAAACCCCTAAGGCAACCTATTTTAACATACTTGCACATCTCAGGCAGATGTGTTGTGTAACAAACCTTTGTCTTTTAGACTTATTTAACTTTACCTACCTTCTACGTCCTTACAGAGATATTTCATTCATACTAGATCACGGGGGATACATGTAGTTGGCGACAACTGCCCTTTCTAGTTATCATAATTATATAGCTTGTAGTATCCTGACATTTGTACGTGTAGCTGTACAGGGAAAAAATTCAAAAATTTATTTTTCGGGGGCTACTTTTCAAGCTCGGTTGCATGAAAATAGCACTCTAAAATTTCGTTTGCATTGAACTCTATGTAAATTTACGGGGTTCTTTTTGGCATTTCGGGGGCTGAATCGCCTCGAGCCCCCGTGAATTTTGTTCACTGTAGCTGTATCATAATTCATTATTCTCACAGGGTGCGAAATTAACGCGAGGCCGGGGTCAAATACTCCCTGATTTACTGTCGGACTCCCCGATTTGACATATGCAGGAGTCCGTGTGACTCCCTGAAAATTCTGCTATACTGACTAGTTCGTTCCGGAGCACGGCCTCGCGGAATTACCGTATTTTTTCAGCGAATGTCCAAAGAAAATTTGGCAGACGTGCAACCGCATGAATCTTAAAAATAAGCACATGCGTTATTGTTAATATCTTTAATTTTGAACCTCAGACTGCAGACTCCTTCATTTTGCTGCGGACTACCTCTTTTTGAAGGTAGGGAGTCCGTTGGACTCCCGTGTTCAAAAGTTAATTTCTACCCCTGCATATTTAACATGAGTTTTTCACTGAAGTACTGCAGTTGTTTGAGTCGTAATCTTAGCTAAGACCAGGTTGTACAATTACTTGCTTGTAGCATAATTGTGTATACTCGTGCTTAAAGGCTGAACGCCCAAACGATTTGGGTTATATTATATAATTCTGCTATATAGTACTGTTATGTAATACTAACTAGTTCGTTCCAGAGCACCGCCTCGCAGAATGTTTCAGTAAATGTCAAAAAAAATTGACGTACGTGCAACCTCATGCATCTTCAAAGTAAGCCCATGTGTTATTTTAAAAATATCTTTAGTTTTGAACTTCAGACTGCGGACTCCCTCATTTTGCCGCGGACTCCCTCTTTTTGAGGGGAGGGAGTCCGTTGGACTCTCTTGTTCAAAAGTTAATATCTACCCCTGTACAATCTCATGCTTATAACATCGGAGCAGAAGAGATCACTGTGTTCATCATCTTTTGGTAGACCACTATTCTCTATACACATGTAACCTCGTACTTCTAGGGTGAGGTACAAGAGCGGTAAGTGTAGAGCATAGCAACAGCGCAAGACAAGAAGCAAACACGAACTAGTAAAGTAACGTACCACAATCAGTTGTATTGGTCATAATGTCTACAACAAGTAGAGAGCAGACCTCCTCTCCTTGCTCCTGCTCGCAGCGCTCTTAAATCTAACCGAACTTGTTGTTCGACCTCCCTCCTCCTGACGTGCGCCGGGTGCGGGTGATAACAGATTATCCCGCAGCACTCCGGACCCTCTGTTGACGTCGTTATTCACCTTATTGCTACTATCATTACCCTCAGCCCGCACCGCGCGCGCTCCGAATATCTCATCTATTCCACCTGGCTTGTCGCCAACGCGACCCACCTGGCCTCATGGCCAAGCTAATTGTAATTAATAAGCCATGGTGAAACCAGCTTCGTTACACACATGTTAGTTGAATATTACCCTAATGATTAATGCCAAAATAACTTTGGTGGCTCAAGTCTTGGCTTCAAAAGATCCAGTGAAAGCCCTGTGTCTGTACCTCTAGTTTGGTCATAACAAGTAGAGTGAATTGAAATGTTGAGCTATGGTGGCTTTGTTGTATGTTTTGCTGGGATAGGTTGACTTTGTTGAGTATATGTGGCAGAAATACTCATTTCTTCCATGTGCAGTAGTGGAGAGTCAGTTGATTGTTTAAGCCACTAATTGTTTTATGACTTGCTAGTGTCAACCTGACAGTTAATTTAATTTGATGAAAGTGTTATAATATAATCTTCCTTTCATGGATGCCAGCTGGAGTTGTTTGTTTGGTTGTAAATTTTGTTTGTAAATTTGTTTGTTTGGTTGTAAATTTTACAGATTCGACCAAGCTGCAAAAAATGCCTTCCAGCTGGACGGTGGAGAAAGGAAAGATTGGCTTTTATTTACGGAACACATGAAAGGCCAACTTTTCCTTCATGCTGCAATCCTGGTTATGAAACGGTGCCAACAGGTAAGATGGCCACCCACTGAGTACGAGAAAATGTGGTTTTAAGACAGCATGAACACAAAATATATTTTTAAAGTAACCAGTAGTTCTTTAAGCAATTGCTAGTCTTATACATTATAGAACTGATAATCAATGTTAATATACTATGGTTTTACTGGCATTTTTTCAAAATTTTACTTCATGAATTCTGTAAATATTTTCAGTACACAAAGAGCTGGAAGGAGAGCACAGACGACTCTCTGGCATGTTTCTTGGTTGCCTATAGTTTTACGCCTCTAGATAAAAAAAGTGTGTGGTATGCAAGAGGAAGTGACCTGCAGAAAAGGTTCTACAACCGTTGTTTTAGTGCAGCTTGTGTTCGTCTAAGCCAGGCTGGTAAGTGATACAGATAGTCATTGAGCATAATATTGTGTATGTATATGTGTACGTATCTGAGTTGTAACAAGTAATTGTTTGTTCATTATAAGATATAGCATTGCAAACTAACACATTTGCAAGACAAAATTTTATATTAAGAAATACGTTTTCCTAACGTCTTTCATTAATTCCATGTAATTGGGAGACGTTTTTAGCTCACCTTGACATCGTCAAGCTGAGCTATTGCCATGGGTCGTCGTCCGTCCGTCCGTCCATCAACATTTCGCTTCGGTCAACGATAACTCAGGAACCGTTTGGCCCACATGTTTGAAATTGGGTATAGTTGTTACTGCTATGCTCCCATATTAACAGGTTCAACGCAAAACACGAGTATACTCGTTCGAACCTGCAAAACGCAGTGACGCTATTGAATTGCTAGCGTATAGCCCCTGCCATCTATAGGAGAACATAGTAAACGTTCGCATTAATTTTTTTATTTTTTATTTTTTTTTGCACGCAGATATACTCGTGTTCTCGCCGGTGG